TTTACTTTTCGTGAATAAACGTTTTCAAGAAAAGAAGGTTATTGAGAATTTGTATTTTACGCACCATGCTTATAATGCGTCCATGCGCAGTTTTTTTTATGTGCATGACAAAAATATATTTAATTTATTTTAATGGATACACGATCTGATGTCCCATGCATAGTTTTTTGATAACGCAGTAAAAAATTTTGTACAACCTTTTAGACTATTTTGATCAATAATTAAACTATTTTTATTCCCACAGACCCACATACTCTCTCCTTCGTTCCTCACTCTCTTTTCCCTTCTTTCATCAAATACTATTCTTTACTTTCCCTACCAGTGATTCGGATTCTTTTTCAATTTTTTACCAATGATTTTACTGGAAATATACCAGATGATAGTGATGACGAAGATGAAGACTTTTATTCTTATAATATGAGTGGTTCAGCTTTAACGTTAAATGTTGGATTATCATTTCATACTTGGAAGGCAGCTTTTCAACATATAAACAATGGACTGATCAACAAGGTTTTTGTTCGTAAAGGAAGATAAGAAAAGGTAGAATTTGAACGAAGAAAACAAACAATTGTTTGTTATTGTGAAGGAACACTCAATTTCACATAGTAAAAAACCATCAAAATCATGTCATACAAATTGTAAATGGAGTGTTAACCTTTCCAGACCAATAAAAAACAACCCAGGCCCTTTGATTTTCGTTACTACCTTTTTTAATGAGCATTCCAGCCACAATTTAGATGTTTTTGCTTACAATTTTAAAGAATCTAAGGCATTTATGAAGTCCATCACTAGTCGAAATAAGGCAAATTGGAAGTAAGGCAAATCGGCCAAATTTCAGCCAAATTTTGGATAAATTTCAGATATGATCGATAATCGGCTGACATTCGGCATAGCTGATTTGCGGTGCAAAATTCCGATATTTGTTTCAAATTCCGATGTTTGCGCATTATAATATTTCTACATTCCGATAATTATATTATATGTAAATTTGACATTTAATAATTCCGATATTTGTATTGTATTGTTTTAACATTTAATAAATTTCGATATTTGTATTATTTGAAATTTGTATTATTTTGAAA